CCTAATGCTCTGAGACGGTCCTCCCACAGTGTCAACCTCTCCCGCCTGCCTTTGAGCCAAAAGACAAGCCCAGCCCTGTCCGGTCAGTGCAGGAGGCTCTCTGGGGACCCAGATCCACAGAGAAAATGAGGAAAGTGGTCCAAAGTACCTTCAGGAGCACCTTACCCTGCCTCCTCACTGGCCACTTGCTAAACCTGCTTTTCATCCCAGTGACAAATATGTGACAAAGGTCTGATCATCCGGCTGATGATGGAGATGGGAGGGATGTGACAAGGAGATGAGGGCTCAGCTCGTGAGGGGCACATAGTGTGTCCCAGCCAGGAGCGCCTGCACAGGGACACGCGGTGTGCTGGGTGCTGCAGCTGAAGCCTCCCCCTGGAGAATTCAGGCAGCAGGGGTGGGACTGGCCTGAGGTCACAGAAGGTCCTGATGGTGGTGAAACGTCACAGTAGGTTACGTAACTTTCTCAAAACCACCGACCGTGCCTTTAAATGAGTGGGTGGTGAGGTATGTTCATTATCCCTCAGTAAAGCTGTTAAAAATTAAAGAAGGAACATGGGGCCGAGATAAGCCAGGCGGAAACAGAGCACATGCGGGGACAGAGGCCAGAAGGAAGGAGACAAAGAGGCACATGGCTGCCAGCTGCAGGGAGGCAGGCACAGCAGCCAGAGGAGGGCCGTGGCCTCCTGTCACACAGAGGCTCAGGCCGGCCCGGCCACAGCAGCCAGGCCCGGCTGCAGGTGCCGGGTGAGAGTCCTGCCCCCGTGCCTAACCGGGGGACCACCTCAGGCAAGTGACTTCCCTTTGCGGGCTCCTGAGATTCACAAACATTCCAAGTGTGCATGAGACAAAGAAGATCAAGACAAAGGAGAAGAAAATCACCCCACGTGAAAAGGCAAAGGGCAGACAAGCCGTGGTGGGAATGGTCGTGGCCACAGACACACAAAATCCGCGAGGGGACTCTCACCGCGGTGTGAGGGGACTTGGAGGTGGGGCTGGGGGAGACAATGAGGTCACAGGGTGGAGCCTCATGCATGGGATCCATGCCCTGATGACAGAGATCCCACGGACTTCTGCAGCCCTCCGTCACCTAGAACAAGGACAGGGTCCTTCAGCAGACACCAAGCCACCACCACTGGTGGGAGGGAAACCCAGGTGGCGATTCGGGTGGCATGGGGCTGGAGAGAGCAAAGGCTGTGTGAAGTGGCCTCTTATCTCATGGTGTCACTCAAGCCCTGAGGAGCCCTGTGGGCCAGGCACCTTGGAGGAAGCCTCAGAATTGAGTGAGGAAGTAAGGTCCCCAAGGCAACTGTCCCATGGCCTAGTGGAGAACTGGGACAAAGGGAAAGGGCCAGGCATGCTGGGGAAGAGCAGGGAGAAGAAGCTTACAGGGAGGGGCGGCAGGTGTGTGTGCACATGTGTGTGCCCGTGTGTGCATTGTGCGTGTGGTGTTTGTGCATGTGTGTGTGTGTGTGTGTGTGTGTTGTTAGAGTGTGTTTCTTTGCAAAGAACATTCAGGTTGAGACCCAGGTTGGCACAGGAATTCCCTAGAGGAAGAATAACGAACAGGAATTCTAGAAGGGTGGCAGCTGGGAGTGGCTCAGGAGCAGAACTCTCGGGAAGCCTTAGCTTCCATCCCAGCACTGCAACTGATGCCCAAGAACCTCAGCAGAGAGCAGTGGCACAGAAGCTGGGATTGGAAAGATGGTGGGGGCTCCCCCTGAGCGGCAGAAGGGCAGGGGCCAGAGACTGGGGCGCTCAGTAGGCCAGAGGCTTTCACAGGGAGGGGCATCATCCGGCCACACAGGGCCCACAGTAGCCCTTGGGGACCTTCCACTTGGGCTGCTGGGGATCTGTGTCCTGGGGCCTCCCAGCCCAGGCAGGCTCACGGCCCCCCTTCCAGGACAGGGGCTTCTCTGCTCTGGTGTGCTGCTGGGAGCCACTACCCAGAGGAACTCAGGGCCTCAGAGTTGAGACCAGAGGAGGCCCTGTCACTGAAGCTGAGCCTCAGAGCCCCTCACAGGGCGACTCCTCCCTTCCTTCTGCCATCTCGGAGCCACCAGGCAGAGGGGGGTGAGACTCAGCAGCCCGCACCCCACCCGGGGAGGCCAGCCTCTCTGTGGCTCTGCTCCTGACTTCCCACCTGTTGCTGAGAGAACCCAGCCAGACCTTTCCCACAAGAATCCAACAATTGCCAAGAGTTCTACTTCCTGGTTTCCCTCTTCTGTTTGTCTTGGATTATTTGAATATTTTTTAACTGTGTGCAGTCTGCTTTGACAACCTTTTTTTTTTTTTTAATTACAAAGCTATTTGTTTAGGGGGGGAAAAAAGCCTCCTTTTTATTCCACCAGCCACGCCTGGCTTAGTTTCTAATGAAACCAGTCTTGCTGACTCTGTTCCCACCCAGGGCCTGGGAGATGTGATTCTTGGGTTTCCACGGAGGCTATTTTCTTAGGATGCTGTGCCCTAGGGAAGATGTCCCCGTCCCAGGCAGGAGCTGGGCATGGACTTTGGCCCCATTCACAGAGCACCTGGAGCAAACTCTTTATGATTTCCTAGGACCTGACTCTGAGATTAAGATCTTAATTGAATATCTGTTGACCTCTAAGAGCTTGGCACAGCCTACATCAGCCAGATGGACAGGACAAGACTCGGCCCGAGCAACCACCCAGCCTCTGTGGTCTCTGGGCTGTGTGGCCTGCACAAGTCACCTCCCTCCCTGATCCCCACTCTGCAGCCTCTTCTCAAAAGAGATGCTGCAGTTACACACAGGGTTCCTCCCAGGGCAGGAGCAGCACGGTGCAGGGAAGGCAGGCCCAGAAGGAAACCCACAGGCCTGTGTGCAAGATGGCAGTAACTCCATTCCACAGAAGTCCCCAGCCAAACACGTCTGGGATTACCTCACAGCACCTGCCAGCTCCAGGAAGAAGGTACCCCTGACCCTGCCCAAGTCTCAGCTTCCTCCTCTGTCCACTGACTCACCCGTGGCTGGTGAATGGGTCCTGGGATCCTTGCCAGGAGGTCACCTTCACAGCCAACTCTGGACTTCTCCCCCGCTCCCCAGAGACCAGAGCTTATGGGCGGCGGCCGTGAAAGGGAAACCTGAGGTCAGCCCTTGCCAGCCTGGGCCAGGGCCTAGGAGGCTGGCCAAGTGCTTCCTGAGGGAGGCAGAACTGAACCAAGCAGAACAAGGCCCAGCAAGAGAGCCAGGCAGAGCAGGGACAGGACACTCAAGCAGGGAAAGCCTGGGAGGGAGAGAGACAGCTCATTCCAAGTTCGCTAGCTCAGAACTGGACTGGCAAGAGGGCGGGCACCACGACTCCTGAAGGGAGACATGAGCAAATCTTCCTGGAGGGACAGCGGAGCCTGGGCCTGCCTTGTGAAGCCTCCCAAGCCTCCCAGAGCTCTTTGGCCATCCTCTGTAGAAAGCCTGGACTCCTTCTAGGGCCCATGGTTTATCTCTTTTGAAAGAGACCCTTCTGCACGTCCTATAGTCTCAGACACATCACTGGGCACCTTGCTCTCTGGGATCCCATTTCATCCTCACCCCCACTCCCCCACTCCGCCAGGCAGGAAGACTGTGCCCACTTGGCAGCCTGGGAGAGTGAGGTTACAGCCGAGGGGGTGGGCGCTTCAGGCCCTGGCTCCTCCCTTATGACCCGTGAGCACCCAGGGCCAGGACTCTGGCTGTCCAGAGCCTCCCGGCTTCTCCCTCTGGGCCAGGGGCCCAATAAGCCCTGTGAGAGGAAGCTGAGGGCAGCAGGGGAAGGCATGGAACCAAGATGCCAGCCCTGGGCGGTAGGTGGGGAGCCCTCCCAGCCGCCCAGGAAGTTGGAGCTTCAGGGGAGTCACCTGATGGTCTCACAGAAGGAGTTCCCAGCCCTGAGAACCCAGCGGCAGGGCTGCCAGTGTGGGCCTCCTGTGTTGAAGACTGGAGTCGTAGGATGAACATCTGCCGTCTTGAAGTGGGTCAGGAAGTTACCAAAGTGAGGACTGGCAAGAACACGGCCAATCGACCTAACTGAATTTACAATGAACAGAAGCTCTGTGCTAACCCACAAGATGAGCAGGAGGACACACCTGCCACATCTCAGACCCGGGGTTCCAGGGCCCTAGGAGAAAGGGCTCTACCCACATGCAAAAGACAAGCCCCAGGTTAAAGTGGCCAATTCAAATCTGAAAACAATCATCAAATACATACAAACTGTCCACGAAGAAACAATCTTGTACCACCATCTGGTGAAATATCAGAAAATTAAAAGGTGAGCCAAGTGTCGGCAAAGGTGTGGGGATCCATCAGTGAGAAGGAGCCCAGCTCGGGAGCACCTGGGTGGCAGGGTCACTTGCTAGCGGTTCAAAGGTGTTATGGGCATGAATGAGCCACACAATGGTGTCCACACAGGTAAAATGACCCCACAGGCTGTAATCCCAGCGGCTTAAGAGGCTGAGGCAGGAGGATTGCGAGTTCAAAACCAGCCTCAGCAATTTAGCAGAGCCTTAAGCAATTCAGTGAGACCCTTTCTCTAAATAAAATGTTTAAAAGGGCTGGAGATGTGGCTTAGTGGTCGAGTGACCCTGGGTTCAACCCCCCCCCCCTCCAAAAAAAGACCTCACAGCACCCTAGGCGGCCACCAGGTATTAAGCTACCTGATGGAACAGACGGGATTCTTAGGTCCTTGTCCGCCCTCCGGAGTCCACGGTGGGCCTTCTCGCCAGCCGCAGGACCCTGGGCAACCGCACACAGCGGGTGCCCACCGGTTGCCGGCGAAAGACCGCGGCAGACTGCGCCGCTGGCCGTCCCCACGCCGCCCGCCCGAGGCTGAGCCGCGCTCCGCGGGAGACTCGAGTTCCCAGAGTCGCAGGCCGAGACCCCGCGGAGCCCGGTGGGGATGCACCTCCCCGGGGCGAGGATGCGGCAGTGCGGCTGGCCCCCGGCTCGCACGGGATCCCAGGCAGGCTCTCGGGCTGTCCCCACCCGCAGGCGCCCGCAACGCGCTCACCCAGCATCTCCTTGCGCCGCTGCGTGTGCGGCTGGTCGGTGTAGACCCACTCGAAGTCGCTGCGGCCCGCGCAGTTGCCCATCGTGCGCCCGGGAGCGCAGCGCACAGCTCCGGTCTGATCCACCTGCCCCGGCGCCCGCGCGGCGCCGGCCACTTCGGGCGGGGCCGCCGGAGGGGCGGGGCTCGCGGTGGCGGACCCGGGAGAGCAGCCCGGGTTCCTGCGGTGCCCGAGTGGCTCCGCACCTGGGCGGGCCGCGGTGGCTCTCGGAGCCTCAGTTTCTTTGGCCCGAAAATGGGGCTGTGCGTCCACCCTGGAGACTGCGGAGCGCACACGACCCACCAGCGTCCCTGGATCACTCCTGGTGGGTGACACCGGCTGCCGCCCGCGGGCCGCGTCGCCTCGGAGCGCACACTCATTCTCCCCGCCTCGCTTGCCCCAACTAGTAGTCAGGCTTTAAGGCTGAGCGCTGGTTCTGTCCTTGGCTCACACCTATTTGCGTTTGGGTCTCTGACTCCTGCCATCCCTGTCCACACAGAGGATCCTGTAATAGTGCCCGCGTGGCAGGGAAGAGGGGACTTGGGAGGAAAGGGCTCAAAAGCATGCAAGGGTGTCCACAAGCAGCTCAGGAAAGGGGGGCTGCGTGTGTCCTCCCCTACCCACCCCATCACACAATAACCTCCTGGAGGTGAATCAGACCACCCCAGCCTCAGGGAACTTGAAATCTCAATGGGACACAGATAGGGAAGTGATTCCAGGTGATGTGTACCATATCACAAGATAGGCCATGGAGTAGCTAGGATCTAGTAGAAGGAGCTTTTGCATTGGGCCTTGTAGGATGAGTAGGAGTTCAACAGTTAGAAAAGCAGAAAGTGATAGAGGGAACAGCAGATGCACAGGCTCACAAGCAAAGAAGAGCCAGACATTCTCCAGGTGAAGAGTCAGTTTTGGGGATGGGGAGACAGAGACCCTCATTTTTACCTTCTCAGGGATTCCTCTCCTCTCCTTCTGCTCCTTTGGAGCTTGGAGGGTGTACATGGCATACCTCAAGACTCAAGTCTGGCCTCTGCCAGGTTCTGTGCTCACAAGCAGCCAGAGCTACCACAAGGCAGTGATGGCCAGCTTCCCTGCTCCTCAGAAGTCCAGCCCAGGAGTGCCGTCAGCTTGACAGGCCTCCCTCTGCCCAGAGCCAAAGGCAGTCCCAGCCTGAGCTAGGAAGGAGGACACAGGCATCCACCACAGCCCAGGTCAGCTAGGGAAGAGGGTGGGCACAGAGGCTGGATGCCCCAAACAACGGGTGGACCCTCAGCGCCCCTGGTAGGCCCCCCATACTACATATATGACAGGGGCACTGGTCCAGCTTGCACACCTCCAGAGACAGAAGGCTCCTTGTTCTGCGGGAAGTCTGCCCTATTCCCAGCCAGGAGGGCCTCAGAAGCTGTTCTACAGCTGCCACTTTACAGGTGGGGAAACTGAGGCCCAGAGATGAGAAAGGCCTTGCCTAAAGTGGGGGACTATGCTGCAAAGCTGGGCAGGACTCTGCTTCCGACTCCCAACTTCAAGAACTTCCCAAGCCAGAGCCTCCAGCCCACCCTGAACTTGAAGGTCTGCCCTGAGATGCCCCCAAGCCTGCCAGCTCTCAATCCCAGGATGGGAATCCAACAGCCACCCTGCTCTTACCCTGGGACAACACCTGTCCTGGGGAGGCTGACCCAATGCTCTCATTTTACAGAGGAGGAAATTGAAGCCCAAGAGGGGACAAGAGGGACACAGAAGTGAGACAAGGGGGTGGGATAAAAGTTCAAGGTAAGGAACCTACAATTCAGTGCCCTTGCCAAGGGATCCTCAAGTCCCCCAGGTCAGCAGGAACCATCACTATCGAGACTTGCCCCAGCTTGTCCCTGGTCTTAGGAATGAAAGAAAAGACATTCATTTGTAAGGCGCCGTCCTGAATAGGATCCTGGAAGGAAGAAAGACACTGGGTAAAAACTTAGACAATCTGAATAAAGGATGGACTTTCTTTCATTATAATGTCTCAGTATTGGTTCATTAATTGTAACAAATGCAACATGCTATTCTAAGATCTTAAAATAAAGGAAATCGGATGTGGAGTATATGTAAATTTTCTACACAATCTTCACAGTTACTCTGTAAATCCAGAGTACATAGTGGCAGTCATGCACAACTTGCATCCTGGAGGAGCCTCCTGCCGTCGAGGACCCCGTGCTCAGGTGCCGGTGGTGATGCAGACGTAAACAGACCTGCAGTTTACAGGTTTACTAAGTGCAGCAGGTACAATTAGGCACAGTGTGTCATGCTGGACGAGGATCATAAACCCCGGCTGCTAGTTTATGTTTTTACTCTGCCGTACTTTTTATTGTTGTTTTAGCGTGGGGGGGAGCCCTTGCTGGCCAGCCCTGGCTCGTAAACAGCACACAGAGCCTCTTGATGGTGCCATCTTCTTGGGCTCACCATGGCCTCGGGAGCAACAGGCTTCACTAAACACCACGCAGCTCTGCGTGCTGGAGGCGAAACTCTGGGGGTTTGTGTTGGTGAGTCTGTCACATTCACACATGATGAAATCACCCCGTGACACATTTCTCAGTACATGTCCTGTGGTTAAGGACATGTGACTCTGTGGACATGGTCCCTGCACCTGATAAGCGCCAGACGAGTTGACCAACAGGGACTGTCGTGGTTGGAAGCAGAGGAGCCCGGGAGGCCAGCCACCGTGGCTCCCCGCACTCCTCCACCCGTCTCCTCTGGCAGCACGGAGGATTTTTTGCTGGCTCTCAGAGGGGCCCCATGTGGCCGTTGGTCAGAGCATTTTGGTATCGGCAGCTGCACAAGGAGCAGGAGCACCCACACCCAGAAATCTCAGCACACGCAGTGTGTGTTGCCACAGCAGAAGCTCGTCCTTGCCCCTCTTTCATAGAAAACAAGCCAGAATGCATTCCAGACAGCCCCTCCCATGCTCCCAAGCCAGCAGAGTCAAGCAACCGTGACCCAGAGCTGGTCGACATCCCAGCTATGTCACCCCATGAAAGAAGAGCAGCCAGCCCAGACAGGGGGAGGACCTGCCTGTTTTCCTGGAAGACAGCTACGAGAGGGTAGAACTGCCACGGAGGGTGGGGGACCTTCCAGAGACACCAAAGTCAAGTCATCCATTACAAAGACCGGGCCAGGCGTGGTGGCCCGCACTAGTGATCCAGGAACTTGGGAGACTGAGGCAGGAGAGACAAATTCCAAGCCAGTCTCAGAAATTTAGCAAGGCTTTGTCTCAAAATAAAAAATAAGAAGGGCTGGGGGTGTGGCCCAAAGATAGAAGCCCTGGTTTCAATTCCTAGTACTGCAAAATAATAGTTGTAGTAGTAGTAATAATAATAATAATAGGATTGGGGCTATAGCACCACAGTAGGGTGTTTGCCTAGCTATGTGTGAGGCCCTGGGTTGAGCCCAGCACCACAGAGAATTAAAAAATAATAAATAAAAATAAAAAATAATAAATAAAAATAAAAAATAATAATAACAAGCACCAACTAAAAAAGACTGTTTAGAAAAAAACAACCCTCTGGGGACAGGCTGGAGCGCCGTGGTAGGGTTTGTGCTTAGCATGGGGGAAGCCTTGGGTTCCATTCTGAGCATCAAATAAATAAGTTTTAAGGAACAAACTTGTCTGCTGAAAAGGAGCAGGGTTTCTGGGAGCAGAGGCACGGTGCATGTCCTGAGCTTCCCGGGCTCTTCCTGGACATCCTGTCTCTGCCACCCTGATAACAATTAACAATTAATGACACGTAATTATGGCTATCTTACCTGAAATGAATTAGCATAGCTGTATTTGCTTGCAATGATGCATTGCTTCACCACAGGGCCATGTTCTGAGAATTCCTCCATTAGACAATTTCCTCATTGTGTGAACACGGCCCAGTGTGTCCCACAAGCCGGGATGGTGCAATCATGCTCTGGAGACAGTACATGCCCAACTGTTCAACAGCCAACCTTTCCTTCTGTAAGTAGAAGAGGTACCCTCTAAAATAAAGATAAGAAGCATGCCTTGGCGCTGCATGCCCAGCCATAGGGGCTCACGGTTAAGCCTCATGCCCTACACTCTTTTTTTCCCTTTGTACTAGGGATTGAACTCAGAGGCACTTAACCACTGAGCCACATCCCAGTCCTTTTTTATATTTTATTTAGAGACAGGGTCTTACTGAGTTTTTTTAGGGACTCCCTAACTTGCTGAGGCCAGCCTTGAACTCATGATCCTCTTGCCTCAGCCTCTGGAGCCGGGGGGATTACAGGTGTGGGCCACCATGCCCTGCCATTGATATGCTTTTATACAACTGGCAGCACCGTAGGTTTCCTTACTCCAGCGTCACCACACACACATGAGGCATGCTTCTGCTACGTCATTAGGTGACAGGAGTTTTTCAGCTCCATCACCATTTTACAGGACCGCAGTCACATATGCATCTTCAGCTAAAATGTTATGTGGCGTGTGACTGTGGATGGCATGTTCCCTCGGCTAGTGAGCCTTGTTCTCTGGGGACCACCCTTGGTATCCCCAGTGCCTAGAATGATTTCTGGTAGAGAAGATCTCTTAACAACAATTTGCTAAAAGAATGAGTGATTCACACTGAAGGAGTGATGAGGGACTCCTCGGAGCGGAAGAGGCAAGAGCGTTCAGATGGAGCGGCTCAGGGTGTCACAGCATTGAAACCTGCCCCCACCACTTTGGAAAACCCTTCAGCAATATCCCCTAAAACTGTGCACACATCTAACTGGGGCCCAGGAATTTCACTCCAGGTCTATAATCAAGAGAAATGACTACACACGTTCCAGCAGAAGACCTGAGTAGTAAGAGTCTGCGTAGCACCCCTGGGAAGAGCCAGAGAGGGAGAGAACGTCTGAGAGCAGAATGGGCGCACAGCTGGTGGCGGATCTGTGCACAGGACGGGGTGCAGCAGCTAAAACTTTCCGCATCTGCAGAGTTACTGGCATGGAGAGCACTTGTGGTCCCAGCTACCCAGGAGGCTGAGTCAGGAATTTGGGTCCCAGGAATTCAGGGCCAACCTGGCCATAGACACCATAGTGAGGCCTAGACTCTGGGGAAAAAGAAATCACTACTAGACCCCAGCATGGTGCATTGATCACATGTTCTTGTTTTTGGTGTTTGGCATCTTGGAGGCCTTCCCAGGGCTACCTAAATCCTTTCATACGCAAACTAACCAAGCCAAGCTCAAACCGCAGCACCTGCTCCATCAGGCACTCATATTTAGCACCAATGTTCCCCGGATGCCTCAGGACAGCCCCCATGTCCCAGAGCACTGAAATTATTCACACTAACAAATCCCAAATTGGTTTACCCTCCCTGGACTGTTCTAGAAACTCCAAGAGAGCCTCCTGCTTGCATTTCCCCATCAGCTTTGGCCTCCCTCTGCTCCCCCCCGTGGCCCTCAGGGAGGGCAGGCCCTGTCCCTGGGAACAAGTAAAACCATCTTTATAACAGCCATGGCTCCTGCATCCGGGGCTTCACTGTGCCTGAATATTTTAACCCAATTTGCACAGCAAGCAGGTGGTTCGACCTCAGACTGGAATGACAGGCCACTCAGCACCCTTGACTTACAACTGGATCCGGAAGGTGCCACATCTGGCAGCCCTGCACCAGTCCCCGGTGGGGACAGCACAGTATCTGGCTGCTGAGCCCAGACGCAGGTCCTCCTGACTGTACAGGCCTGGGATCCGCACAGGCCTGGCATCTCTGCCATGTAGACAGGCTGTGTTTCTCGCCTGCCTCATGCGAGACAGCTCTGCATCCCTGGACCTCAGAGCCAGGGCCTCCCCACACCCCACCCACCCCAACAGTAATATATATATATAAAATTTTCTTTTCCGCCCATGGCCCCAGACCCAATGGGGTGGGAGGCACCTGAGAGGAACAGCATGGCATGGAGGAGAAAGGGAGAACTGTGCAGCCCGTCCACTGCCCGCCCACCTGCCCACCTGCCTGTCCCCTGGAGGCCAAGCCTGACTCAGCAGCATCCGCAGCATCCCTGCCCAGCACCTGAGGGCCTGGGCCGGGGCAGCCTCAGGGCTCCTGAGAAGTGCTGGGGTAGAGTGCCCTGGGCTCAGTCCCCAGCACTGCAGAACTAAGTCAGTTCACTAGTTAATTTTTTAAAGAGAGAGATGCCTGGCTTTAACCCTAGCCTTGCTAAACCCCCACCGTCCTGGACTCACTGCCTGGAAGGATCACACACTGGCCATAGACACTTTTCGTGCACTGAACTAAAAATTTAAATTAAAGGCTTTGACACGATTGGCTTGTTTAAGTGGGACTCCATGGGCCCTGGTTCAAGGAGTTAGGGTCCAACGTGAGTTAGCTCAGGGTGACCAGGCTGGGGCGGAGCAGGGCTCTGGCCTCGTGGGCACGGGGCCCTGATTCCCTTCCCAGAATTAAAAACAAAACAAAAAAACACAAGGATTTCAAATAATAAAACTTATTATCTGAGACCCAATAAAGGTGTGATTATCCCCTTTGCTCCTCCATTTTTTGGTCCAATTTACCTGTGGATGCTCCGCTCAGCCTCAGTGCTCCTTCACCCCCATGGACACCTCCCACGGGGCCTGTCAGGAGGAGCTCCTCGGGTGTCCACCCTCCTCCAGGGGCACCAGGGTGTCGAGGGGCCAGGTCCTCCTCCTCCTCCCAGAGCCCTCGGCGGCCCCTTATCACATCAAGCCCCACCTCTCTCAGTCCCTGGGGGACTGGGCAACCCATCCTTCATTGACAATTGCACTTCATCCTCCTCCCGGTGCTGGGGTTCATCAGCTGCCCCACCTCCAACAGGGCTGCCTCCTGCAAAAGGCCTCTAATGTCTGCAAATCACACCCGACGGGCTCTCCCCTTGTGGCCCCCGCGCCTCCAGCACCTCAGGGACTTGGCCACCTTGTCATAGCCCCTGCCGTCTCTGGACCAGCTGGGGGGCCAGTAGCTGCCCAAGGACTTCTGATGCAAGAAGCTGCTCTGCTGGCCTCCCAAGGCACAGGGAGACCAAGCGGCCTACCAGGCCTCCAGAAATAGAGGCTCGCCCAGCCCCGAGGCTGCGACCCTCCACACTCCGCTGTCCACTGTGCTCGGGTGGAACAGCGACACTCTGCACAGCTCCTAAGGGCCCCGTGGGACGGAACCTGGGCCCTGTGGCATACTCCAGCAGCAGGAGTGGTGGCATCCCCTGTCCTGACCCCCTGCAGAGGCCAGGCACTTGGTTGCTGGGACACGCTGCCTGGGCTGAGGCACAGGAGGATCCAGCTGTATCTGAGCTCCGGGTGGAGCCTGGGAGCTGGCTTAATGGAGGGACAGAATTATCTCCTCAAACCGTTCTGTTTTGAATTCCAGTCCTGCAGATGACACTAAAGGGGCCTCCATCTCACCCCAGCCTCAACTGCTCTGAATTCAAGGCCCCTTGGCCAAGATACATCCCACATCAATTTTTTAAAGCTTTCCCATGACCCTTCCTTATTATTTATTTAGTTACAAACCTGGGGCGCTTAACCACTGAGCCACACCTCCAGCCCTTGTTTATAGTTTATTTAGAGACAGGGTCTTGCTGAGTTCCTTAGGCCCTTGCTAAGTTTCTGAGGCTGGCTAGGAACTCCTGCCTCAGCCTCCTCAGCTGCTAGGATTACAGGCCGGGGCCACCACGCCCAGCAAACCCTTCCCTATGTTTAAAGGGGGATATGTCTCACCTTCAACTGTATAAAGGCTCATTCATTATATGTGAGGCCCTTAATAATCCCCAGGGTTTATACATTTATAAATCCCAGAAGGACTAGAGGCCAGAAGCCCACAGCCAGACAGCTCCTCTGATATGGAAGCCACTTGAGCCTCACCTGGGCGCATGGGCGCACACCCACAGACCAGGAACCCTCAAGCGCAGCCACACACTGTTCTGTTGCCTGGTTGCTCATTGGGACCGTGGGTCTCACTGCTGCTCATCGGGTATTTTCACTAGTCCGTAGTCCAGAGGCCCAATCCTCGGGGGACGTCAGTGTTTCAAGCAGGTGTGACAAGTGCTGAGACCACAGGCCTTCGAGCTTGGCCTACCACCCAAAGACTTTGCCAGCCTGCCCGACGGCCGTCAAAGCCACACCTGGGAAAGGACTGACAGCAAGTGGCAGATAGGAGGGCTGCCCCCGGATGGCACAGAGCCAGAAAAGCAACTGGACACAGAAAAGTGACTGGACACACGTCGAAAGGACAGCCTGCTGGAGATGGCACTGCCTCATAAGACTTGGCCCCACCAGGACCCCCGGGGGGAGATACTCCCCCCGACGCTCTGCCCCAGCCCCGGCCGGCTGTCCTAAGGCAGAGTAGACCTTGACCCTCTTGCTGTTCTTCTGCTGCTTCTTTGATATTGGGGATTCTATTAGTTTCCCGAGTTCACCGCCTGCTCAGCCCGTGAGGCTGGAACACCCCTGCTCTCGGCCAAGCATCACCCCCAACTCCCACACTCAAAGAGAAATCTGGCAGAGGCACTCCTCTCCAAGCCAGTCCAAAACGTCATGGCGATCAGCGCCTCCCCCAGAGGCATGTCAGACTGCGTCCACCAGGGGACAGGCACACCCACTGCCCAGTGCCCTTCCCCCTCCTGCTCCAGCTTCCCACCATGACTCCCCATCTTCATCTCTACCAGCGGCCCACCGAAAGCCCCTTTCCCCTAATTGCACAATTGTAGCTCAGGGGCAGAGCGCTTGCCTAGCATGTGTGCATGTGTGAGGCACTGGGTTCAAACCTCAGCACCATGCAAAAAGGCCCTCCAACTTGAACACACTTGACCAAACTATGAGTACCCCAACAATGTAGCTGCTGCACCTGCCGCCTGAGCTTTGAGAGAAAACACACCAAGGTAGTGTGATGGGGGTATTATTTATAAGGTGTACTTTCTTGCAAAAACCAAGGTATTTTACCTCTGAGCTACATCTCTAGCCTTTCCTTTCCTTTTTCTTTTTTTTTTTCTTTTTAGACAGAGTCTCACTAAATTGCCCAGGCTCAAACTTGTGATCCTCCTGCCTCAGCCTCCCCAGCAGCTGGGATTACAGGCGTGCACCACCACACCCGGCTCATAATGTATATCCCCCTTCCCCCCGCAGTACAGGAGAACCCAGGGTGCTCTAGCATTGAGCCACACCCCTGGCCCTTTTAATTTTTTTATTTTCAGACAGGGTCTCCCTAAGTTGTTGAGGCTGACCTTGAACTTGCCATCCTCATGCCTGAGCCTCCCAAGTCAGGGATTACGGGTGTGCACCATGACCCCCACTCTCATAATTATACTTCTAACACACTTTACAGTTCCACCAAGATACTGTTAGAGACCCTGAACTTTTCAGATCTCTTCTCTTGAGTAATGCCACACACACCGGGGACTCATGCATGGCCAGCTTGCTGATTCCTAGTACTTCTCCCATGTGGCTCCTTTCTGCTCTCTTGTTTGAGGAAAACCCAAACCAGGGCTCTGAGATGCTCTTGGATTCTGGGGCGGGATCCCCAGTCCACCCCTGAGTATGCCTGAATTGAACATGGGATGATCACGGTGCAGACCCAGCCCGGTGAGGTGACCCTCCCCACTGGCCCCAGTCAGGAGTCAGCCTCAGAAGGCGCTCCTGGGCCCAGAGGACACAAAGCTGCGTTCTGCAGGCAGATCTCTGTGAGGGGACCCAGTGGACACCCCGGCCAAGCTGGGGCTGGTCCAGGACAGAAGATGCTGGCGGAGGTTGAAATGCAGCAGGGGACCCAGGGCACTGCCAGCGCCCCTGGCTTAGGGGTGCTCCCTGGCTCTATTTTCAGTGGAACTTGATTGAGTTTTCAGGGATAATCAGTGTCTGTGACCACCCAAATCTGGAGTGCCCAAAGCCCTCCGACAAGTCCTTCCTCGATGTCAGAGGTTGGTTCCTGCCCAGCTGCTCTCCTCCGCCTCCTCCATACGCCCAGGCATCTTCCTGAGTCCCCGTGGGGTGCCACACCCCATGCCCACAACCTCAGGGCACCACGTCACCACTACCCAAGGCCCTGGCACATGTCCTCAAGCACGAAGATCTAGACACACACACTGTGCCCTAGAAAATTCGTGGGGTCACACAGGGCACAAAGAAGGAGGGAACAGGGAAATGCCCCCAGGTGGCATGGGAACCGATCGGGAGCTGGGATTTAGGGCAACAGCTGCTCTTACCTGGGCCAGATCTGCATGGTACACCCTCCACACGGGCTTTCTGACCAGCCTCTCGGTCACCAGCCTGTCCCGGTGGCTGGGTGGGGCTCTGTGTGTGTGTCCAGCGTACCTGGTGCTTGGGTCTGTTCCACAGGGGGCCTCAGTGGAGGCTCCCAAACTGGAGGCAGGAACGACTTGGGGGTGCGGCTCTGGGCAAGGATTTTTGTTTAAGTTCCTGTCTGGATTGAGCGAATCATCGAAAGCATCAACAACATCTAGTTGATTTTTTTAATTAGTGACTCCTCCCCAGCAGCACCCCTAAGCCTCGCCATCCCTGCCACCTCTCACCTTATGGCCCTTGCCCTGCTGCTAAGCCGTGTGGCTGGGGGGGCTTGAGTGGGCCCAGCCCCTGCGGGGGGGGTGGACGGCCCAAGGAAAACACTAGACCATCCCTCAGAGGGTGGGCATCACACTGAGGCCCCTGCAGTGGGGGAGAAAGCCTGAGAAATTCTCATTTTAACCCTTTTCTACTGGCCCATCTGACCCACATCTGGAACGAGCTGGCCCATGCTGCCATGCTTAGTGCCCACCAGTGGGCAAATGCTCAGGGGTCACTTGGGCTCATGTCCTGGAGCCCAGGTAGTACACTGGCAGAGGAAATGCAGAGAGAAGACCAGGCAACCACAGAGTGTGGCTGCGGGGTCCCAAAGGACAAGGACCAGAGAGTTCCCCACCAGAGAGAAGAGAGGAAAGAGATTGTTGACAGACGACAAGACACAGGCCAGGCAGCTGAACTTGTTAACTCCTTGGACATCTCCTGGGCCAGGGTAAATTGGGCAGGGGCTGAGACAGGACACCTTGGCAAGGAGCTGAGGCAGGTCAGGGACTGCAACCAGTACCTTAAAAGAAAAGAGGGACTCGAGCAAATGGATCATCGGTGGAGCCAGGGGAGGTGGAGGCCCTACCAGAGAAACACAGGTTGAGTCCTCAGAGGGTGGAGTGCAGGAATGGCCTGCCCCAGGAGGTGAGGACAGAGAACACAATTAATATAGCTGAGACTAACTCCTTCACTGACTTAATCACCCTGCCTCCTCCAGGACTGGCCATTCAGCCCAGCCTCACCCCTCATCGCTGACTCACTCCATCCCACCCTCACTCACCTACCTGTGACAAAGAGGGTGGGGGGCAGCACCTAGAGTCGGAGCCCTACACCTGTTGGGACAGGAAGGAGGGACTCACTGCCCCACCCCTGGCGGATCTTCGCCCACCTGGACAGGCCTCTGCTGCACACCCCCAGCAGCCGCCATGGCCCGTCTCTCCCCCCGGGCCTCCACCTTCACTCCAGCAGGGCTCCCTCCATGGGGGACGCTTTGCTCAGGCCTGGCAAGTCCCAACCTTCCACGGCCACACTCCAGTGCCCCCAAGGAAGAGCCTTCCCACATTATGGCTAAATGACACCTTGACCAAACTCCATTCTACCCTGAGACTCCATTTCATATAAGAAGGGCTTCACCCCACTTCGGCCACCCCCTGCTAAGCACACCCTGTTTGGCAATGCACCGCGCTTGAAAAATGTTTCGGTTATTCTTTTTTTTTTTTTTTTTTAATATGACTTTGCTTATTTTTTTTCCTTTGGTGCTGGGGATGGAACCCAGTGCCTCACATGTGCTAGGCAAGCGCTCTGCCACTGAGCCACAACCACATCCCTTCTGTTATTCTTATACAATGTGTTATTAAGAAATGCATTTGTAAGATGCTCTCTGTTAGTTCCCATTTTTCCTGGGCAGTGTATTGCGCCCTGAACTCGGTCATCATGACCCACTTCCTTCGTTGCTATGGTCTTGACCATATTGGTAGCTTGAAGTTTTGAGCTATAAAAGAGATACCCTACCTTCTGCAAGGGGTCAAGATGTGCAGAGACGACCTGTTCATTGCCCCTTGGCCCGCCGGCAAATAAAGTCCCATGCCCCACTTGAAGACTGAGCTGGTGATTTATTTCAAATACGCCCAACACCCAGACCCTCCGTTGAGCCTGGCTCCTCCCTGCCTCCTCTCCTCTCCGTTGGCTTGTCCTGGTCCTGCAGGCCACGACACGGCAGGGCACAGGGTGGGCCTCATCCCCCATCAACACTCACTCTTGCTCTGGGAGCCTCACCCCACCTTCTGTGAAATGGGTGTTGGGGAGAGAAGCCACGGCCTGTCTCTTCCGGGAGGGGAGTGAGTGATACAGCACACACAAGGGACTCCTGGGGACCTGCCCCCACACAGCCTTGGGGTAAAGATGTGGGCCTGGAGATTTCCACCTGGGAGCTTTGGAGCAGGACAAGGTCTTCTCCCTGGAAGACCAAGCCAAGGGCCATCTTCCAAGTCTCCCCTCCGGGGGCTTCCCGTCCTCGGGCACAGGTGGGGAGTCCAGCTGATAGGTGGAGACATTGGCCCAGCAGGGAGCAGCCATGGTCCTGGTTTCCAGGGAGCACAGGCAGGGCCCAGTGGAAGGACTTAGGCTGCTGTTGGGTGTTTACCAAGAGCCAAGGCCATGCCAAATGACAGACACCAAGTGACACCACCATCAATCAAGCACCTTCACGTGCCTATATCAGCAACACAGGAGACTAGGGTCTCACTCAGGAACTGACAGGTCAGGTTCCCACGGCCAAGGCTCATTATTAATTAATCACTCGTCATGTGTCAGGCTGGGGGAGTGTTGAGAGCCACAGCCCAAGTCGGAATGGCCCCTGGCATTTTTCCAGAAGTAATGGTTGAGAGGTGAGCCATTAAGATGTTGATAATTAAGTTAAGCTGTGTATAATTGCTGTGACTGGATGATCCTGGATTGAAACAGGCTGTGTATTCAATTGTATATAGACCCCTGCTGTCCGCCTCGGGGCGCCTGCCCACTACTTTGGAGTTCTGGGGCGGGGGGGGGATTCCTGGGGAGTTCGCGTTGGTTGGTGAAGTTCGGTGGAGGTAGTTCCGGTTGGTGTGTGGTGTTCCTGGAAGGGCCGTGTGGGTGGCGTGCGGGAGTTTGGGCAATAAAGGAGTTCCTGTTTGAACCTACAAGTGCCTCCTGGTGGCTCGGTTATTTTGTGCCCAGCCAGACTGCGGCATAGGAGGGGGATTTGAGTGTTATTATGAATACAAACTAATAGCATAATGATGGGGACTGAAAGAAGCCAGAAGACCACATACGACATGATTCCATTCACATAAAGCACAAAAAACAGGCTGAACTAATCTATGGTGGTAAAAATCACAAGAGCAGTTGCCCTGGTGGGACCTGGGGGTCTGCAGACTCCTGGAACCCAGTCTGGGTGGAGCCGCAGGGCAGGCCCAGGGAGAAATTCATTTGGCTGCTCACTTATAATGTGGCACTCGACGGTAACTGAGATACAGCAGTAAGCTGACATAATAATAACATGCCACTCGTGTAACAGGTCCCGTGGGTTAGCCCGTCCCACGCAGGTAACTCACTGCTTCTCCACTGCAGTGTCCCCAGCGCCAAGCCCAGGGCACCTGACCATCCTCACAGTGGTGAACAGTCAATGTCCCCATTTCCCAACCACAGAAACCGCTCTTCCAAGGAACCTGGGTCTTAGCTCTCCCCAGAAAGTTCTGGGGCTGTCCTAGCTCTGGCCCCAGAAAACAGTAAGGAGGTAGAGACAAGAGTCCAGATGGGGGACACCTGAGCTGCTAGCAGTGGCTCCACGGCCAGTTGCCATGGTCAGGCCGGGATGGAGCCACAGGAGAGAGACCACTGCTCTCCAGAAGGAGGTGACGCTGGGCTGAGTCTCAGAGAATGCACGAGGTCCAGACCAGTCATCGTGGAGAGGGGACGACTTCTCGAGTGAAGGCCCAGCAGCAGGCTGGGAGGGAGGAGGGAACCGATGGTCCCCATGCGGCTTCCCTGGTAGGCTGGAGCCCAGGTCCCTAAGGAGGCTCCTCAGGGTGGGCGTCATTATCCCAGCCATGGCACTGGTCGAGTGCCCCTAGCACTGGGGTTTTCTAGGATTGCTGGGATCCTGTGACTAAAGGTGGCCAAGAAACTTCTGGCATGCTCTAACAGATTATATTGAACCCGATTGGCTTTGAGATAGACCAACCGGGTCCAGGTTCACAAAGAGGAACTTGGCGCACAGATCTGAAGTCATCCACCTACGTATGGAGCTGTATCATGCCCAGAATCCAGGTGACACAGCCCAAGCTCCCCCACCCTGCTGGCTCCCAGAGGACAGCTAAGCCGCACTCACTGGCAGACACCAGACACCTCCTCCCGGCAACCTGAGGCAGAACGAGGACTCTGCAGTGTGGCAGGAGCAGCCCAGGCAAGGACACAGAGGGGACGAGCACGTCCTGGAACTCCATCTCAATGATGACCACTGCTAGATCTCCTCCGCAGGGACCCTGGAGCGTGACCATTTCATTCTCATTCAAAAAGCTCTTTCTTCATCCGTGGAGCCTTAAAATCAATATGTCAGACACGAGGACACATGACAGATATCTACACCTGTATGTTATGTATGTGACATAAAGTTGTCTTTTGCCCGGACATTTCCATTTGCCATTATGTTGTCGCAAGGACGTTGGAGGCAAGGGGCGGGAGGCAGACAAATGCAAATGCGAATGTCGGGTGACTCAGTTGGAAGTCAACACACTCTCCAAAGAAGCACAGGTCTAAGTGTGCAATGTAAAATTATAAAGGTGACCACAAGTACACAGATATTTCCAAAATATCAGAAGAAACACATGCACCCAAGGTTAGTAAATATAACTACAAAAACAGAAAAGATAAGATGACCTCACTGAGACTAACAGACTGGTCACGTTGATCCATGCAAATTGGTTAAACTTGGTTCATCTTTCAAGGGAAATGCCTGCCAGATGGTTCCCGTTCAACCAGAAGCTGGAGGCAAAATCCTTTCCCCCAACAAGAAGACGCAGAAAGAAAGAAAATCAAAGGCTACAGGAGAGTTAAGAGGTAAAGAGAACAACAGAAGGCAGGAGGCAAATCAGGGCAAAGCACCAGGTGAGGCCAACAGGAGCACTTTATGATGATTATGATTCAAGTCACAATGGAGCGCAAACCATCCGCCAGGGACAAACAGCACACATCAATGCCCATGCATCGACCAGCACAGGATCTCATTCACACAGCAAAAGAAATTCGAGGAGGAAGAACAGAAAGCATAGCAACAGTAGGAAATTTTTATTCTCTCAAAGACTATGAACATGAAAAATTAAATAAGGTTAAAGACCTAATAACATAACTATTGAGATAGATTTAATTTTGTGTACATCAAAATCTCTATCCTAAGAACAAACTACGCAGGCTGGGATTGTGACTCAGGGGCAGGGCGCTTGCCTAGCACTTGTGAGGCCCTGGGTTCGACCCCAGCACCACATATAAATAAATAAATTAAATTAAGGTATTTTTTAAAAACTATGTCTTTACAGACAGACAACTGAATATCCACAAAGATAAACCACCTACGAAATCATTTCTTAAAAATTCAAATGTTTAAAAATAGAAATTCTGGGCGTGGTGATGCATGCCTGTAATCCCAGTTACTTGGAGGCTGAGACAGGAGGAGAGGACTTTCGGGCTGTTAGAGTTGCCATTTTGGAGAGAAAGAAGTCACAACCAAGATGAGCTAATAAGGTCCAGTTACTGTCCGAGACTCCGGAGCCCCGGCCGGGTGCGCGGCGACACTCTGGGAGGGGCTGCTTTCCAAAGCTGTCTCGGTGCGTTTCCTTTGCTGGGCGCCCGTCTCCCGCGCCCGTTCGGGGACGGATCCCTGGAAGCAAAGGACCCGCCGCAGCCCGCTTTCTCAGGGGCCCAGGCAGACCCCTCCCAATCCGCGCAGGAAGGTGTGTGTGTGGGGGGGGGGGGCTCCAAAAGCTCGTGGCCTCAGCTTGACCAAAGGTGGCCTTTATCAGTCCTTGATGGCACCCAACCAGCTGGGGCCCTGCAGGGCGGGAGAAGCGTCTCCAAATGTCACATTTCGAGGCCAGGACCGGCCTCCTGGAGGAGGCAGTGTGCGCGCGGGGTGCAGGGGTCAAACCACGCCCGCTGGGGGGAAGGAGGCAGAGGGGACGTTTTGCTACTCCAACGGCCCCGAGGGACCCCTGATCTCGGAGACCAGAACGCAAGCTTGGCAAAGCGGGTTGGGCAGTAACAGGGTCTACCAACAGTGGTCACCGCCCAGCGGACGCCGGCGTGCTGGACACTGCGTCCTGGCAAGTTTTCGGAAAGGGTCCCCGCCCACGTACGCACGCGAGGTATCTCTGTCACCTGCTCGCTGAGTCTGCGTGAGCGCGTCCCCGCGGCGCTCCTTGCCCTGTGCCGCCCCCTGCCGGTCAATCTCAGCGCGGCCGGACGACTTGGAGGGCGGGGCTCCGGAACCAGCGGCGCAGGGATTGGCTGTCTACGGCGTCACGTGCCCACGCTCTAGCCAACCATCGGTGGAGGCAGGGCCTTGTTGTGGTGGTAGGCGGGGTAACGGTGACAGGACAGCGTGCTGAGCCAGACCAGACGCCGGCGGTGAGGCAGTAGCACCTTGGTCCTGGCAAGGATTCGTGTCACTGTCCCCTGTCGCTATTACCCAGCTGTTCCTTTGCTTGTAATGGCCTTCCCTCACTTCCCTCGCTTGCGTCAGACCCAGCCGTGGCTGGGTTAAGACCCTTTGGGGCTTCTTGAGACCCTGTGCATCTTCCTTCTGCCTGCACCAAACTCCCTGCCCTGGGCTGTAACTACTGGTCTACACCCTCTGAGTTTCCATCTCTACCTCCCCATCAAGCAAAGGGACTAGTACACAGTAGGCACTTTACACTTCTGCGTTGATGTGAATCCAGGGGAGGGATGATGGTTTAGGAACCAACCATCCCAGGTCATGTCTGAGTACCAGGTACTTTGGAGTACTGAATAATGTTCCTGGTAGATGTGAGAGGGAGGCATTGTCCCCCTCTTTTCTTGGGTAGTCAGTGGAGGTTCCTAGAGACTGACTGGCTTGAGTCCCTAGGTGAGCTGAGGGGCTGGAGGTGCCCTCACACTAGGGATAGGACCTGAAGCTCTGCTGGGGAAAATTGTAGGGCAGGCCCTGGAAGGGAGATTCAGGGCCCCAAGGCAGGGTGGGAAAAGGGAGGAGAGAGGGAAGT